TCAGCAAAATTCTCTGATCAAAAGAGAGTACACCAGCAAAGGATGATAACATCATGGCAGAACAGATCTTTTTCGGAAGGTGTCCAGTGAAAATGATATAATACGAAGAAATGATGAAAACAGAGAATAACCCCACAATGACTGCATTGAATGAATGCGAAATCGTCACACAATGTGACATCACAGTAGATGTCTTTGAAGTTGAAACAAACATCAGAGACCGATTTGAAGGGACTAGGATCAGTGCCTGTGTAGCCAGCTTTAAACCAAGCATACTTGATCATAGGTGAAAAGACATCAGAAGAGAGTTGATTGTGAATTAGTGATTGAAGTTTTATCAAATTGTTTCTTTCTCCCATGTGAATATTAATTTCGTCGAGGATGACCCAGTCATAGATTCGACGGGCAAGAACCTTGAGTTGACGATTGAAGTAAACATCTAAGGGTTGTCGATAAGATGTTGTTTTTGCTGGAATTTCAACACGAAAAAGACCTTTTATACCATCGTATAAACCTTTATTATCACCTTGTCCATTCCAACAATCAGAGATCAATAGAGTTTTCCCTGAAAGAGATGGACGAAGTACCTTGTCGACCCAATATGACACCAGTGATGTGGTCAATTTACCACTTGCGCTGCATGTTACAACAACGTTGCTAGCATTGAAGAGATTTTCTTTGATTCGATCACTCCTAAAAGTAATCAAATATCAGATTCATATTCGAAGTTGATTGTATGATTTAGATAAACGCAAGAAGCGTTTGTATAGAAAACGCCAATTAATTTTCCTGATAAAGAAATAGTAACCCACTGTCGTACAGTGTATGAATGTGTTGATTCGTTCTTCGAACGTGCTTTGACCATAGTGGTTTTCTCTCCAAGGAAACTCAATGTTCGAGACGATATCAGTTCTATTTCAAGACCTGATTGATCCGTATTGATAATTTGATCTTCATTGTATCTTGGTATCAATTTTCGCACATCATCAACGAATTTCTCGCCGGATTTTCGTATTGTTTATTCGTCAGCAGCGTCTCGTTTCGCCACGATCTAATCAGAGATAAAGATATTGTCAGTAACTAATTCGACGAAGATAATCGAATTCTCATCTGCACATCTTGTACACCTTCTTCATATTTTTCGTCTTCGTCTTGGACATCATCGTAATCAAGTGTCGATTCTTGCTCGACGGAATACGAATCACCGAGTAATACCGACTTTAGAGCATCAAGTAACAGATCAACCATTTCCTTTTCACTTGAATAACCAGACAGTGGCGGAGCCGAAATAAGTTCGTTGGCTACTCGAGCCATAAAGAGTTCCGAAATACGCGTGGCGCTGTTCATCATTAAACACAGAACGTTGCTGTGTCTCTGTTCCGTCTACTGTTCTGTCTGAAGCAATACCGGTTATTTATTAAGAAGCGAGAGAGAGAATAAGAGAATGAGCACGTGGTGAATGTTGAAGATAACAGTGCAAATGTATGGGTAACGAATATGCTCCTGACTCAAGGAATGTATACATCGGGTATTCTAGCTTAACTGCTACGTAACAATGTTTAAAATGAGTGATATCGTACCAAGAGGAGAGTACTCGTTGCATCGCTCACGTGGATATTCTTTCTCTTTCTGTTTCTTCACGTCATAGTCTTGGTCGTGTTTACGCCTCACGTTCCCTCTATAAGTTAAGCAAAATCGACAGAATCCATGTG